CCCCATCTGAAGAAAAGTGCATTGAACTACTGACCTACCTGTCTGCACAAACGTTAGATCATGACGTGAGCGGAGTGCATTCTTAAGTACCAACTCCCACTTCCAACGTTTGGGAGCTGGTCGACCTATTTCGTTACTTTCCCTCTGTTGTTTCTGTCTGTGCTGGTGGTTGGAAGGCGCCACTGGTAGGTCCTACTTCTTTACTTTCTCTTTTTTGTTTCTGTCTGTCCCCTGGGTAGTCGGAAGGTTCTACTGGTTGACCCAACGTCTTTACTTGCCCTCTGTTCTGTCTGTCTGTCTGTCTGTCTGTCTGCCTGCCTGTCTGTCTGTCTTACTTTTCCCCCAGCCTTTAAGGACCATTACTGTGTCGATGTGCTTCTCTTCACTAAAAACTGAAAAAAATGGCGTTGACAAAGTAATATTCCCTTTAAGCAATAACTTTTTAAAATTACAGAATATGGCCCCTTTTGAACATAATCTAAGTTTAATTTTGTACGACATCTCGTTTTCACGACTTGGATTCAGGGCTTTCAAAACGATTTACATCAACATCGGGGTCAACGAAAAAAGGAAATCACAGTACGCTTCGGGGGCTCTCGTGGCCTAGAGGTTAAGGTGTTGGCCTCTCATTCATAGGTTTCAGGTTTGAATCCGAGTAGCAACCGAAAAATTTTCTTATCTAAAATGGTCTCCTTTCACCTTCTATCCAGCTCTCTAGCCATGTTCTGTCGTCTGCTTTCGTCTCCTCTTTCTGCCCCCACCCCCTCAACTCCTTTGTCCCCTCCTCTGGGCTCCTGACTCTTTGTGCAGCCTTTCTACTGCTACTTCTTGGCTCCTTCTGAGGCTGTCTTTCACCCACACCCCTGATCTTAAGGTAAGAAAGATCTACACCTAGCCTTCTCGGACAAGGGTGAAAAACCTCGGAGGTCACGTGTGCAAGTTGCGTACGTTAAAGAGGGGGAGAGAGGGAGAGATAGATAGAGAGGGAAGGAGAGAGAAGAGAGAGAAGAAAGAGAAGAGAGAGAGAGAGTGTGAGAGAGAGAGAGAAAGAAGGAGAAAGGGGATGGAGAGAGAGAGAGAGCGAGAGAGAGAGAGAGAGAGA